AGAGCTACCATATGATCTAGCAATTGCACTACTGGGTATTTACCCCAAAGATACAAATGTAGGGATCTGAAAGGGTACGTGCACCCCGATGTTTAGAGCAGCAATGTCCACAATAGCCAAACTGTGGAAAGAGCCAAGATGTCCTTCGACAGATGAGTGGATAAAGAAGATGTGGTGTATATATACAATGGAATATTATGCAGCCATCAAAAGGAATGAGATCTTGTCATTTGCAACGACACAGAATGAACTGGAGGGTGTTATGCTGAGCGAAATAAGTCAATCAGAGAAAGACATGTATCATATGACCTCACTGATATGAGGAATTCTTAATCTCAGGAAACAAACTGAGGGTTGCTGGAGTGGGGGGTGGGGTGGGAGGGATGCGGTGGCTGGATGATAGACACTGGGGAGTGTATATGCTATGGTAAGCGCTGTGAATTGTACAAGACTGTTGAATCACAGATCTGTACCTCTGAAACAAATAATGCAATATATGTTAAGAAAAAAAAGAAGAAGAAGAAGAAGAAGATAGCAGGAGGGGAAGAATGAAGGGGGGGAAAATCGGAGGGGGAGATGAACCATGAGAGATGATGGACTCTGAAAAACAAACTGAGGGTTCTAGAGGGGAGCAGGGTGGGAGGATGGGTTAGCCTGGTGATGGGTATTAAAGAGGGTACATTCTGCATGGAGCACTGGGTGTTATGCACAAACAATGAATCATGGAACACTACATCAAAAACTAATGATGTAATGTATGGTGATTAACATAACAATAAAAAATTTAAAAAACCTAATTTGTTTAATTTAACCAAAGAAGATCAGTGCTCCCATTTAGTAGGAGTTAGGACTTCTCACAATTCCAACTGTCAGGAACATAGCTTATACTATGTATATATAGATCTATCTACATATGTCTGTCTGATGCATTCAAAAGAATATTTGTACGTGTTGAGCCCCAATAATAATAGGAACTCATGCACCTGTATTCCAATTTCAAACCTAGACCACTACGCACTCCATTCTATCTCCCTGTGTACTTCCTATTCCATACCACCTATTTTAATCATTCTCTTAAATTCAGTAATGATCATGTCTTTGCCTTTTTTGTATTTAACTGCCCCCCCCCAATATAGTCCTTTTGTTAAATTCAAAACTGTATAAAAATGGCAAGACATACCACAGAATTTCCCACATCTGGCTTTTTCCACACAACATCTGTTTTTGAAATTGATCACTGCTTCTTCATGTAGCTGTAAATCAATCATTTCCACTCAAACTCTTCTATTGTGCAAAATGCCACAAATAAATATTCATTTCTTATCAGTGTACACTTAAGTTCTTTCCTGTTTTTACTCTCAATGATGCTGCCATAAACATTCTTACATGTCTCCTAGTACACATATGCAAGGATTTTTCTGGAGTATACACCTAAATGTAAAATCACTGGGTCTGAAGGGATGCAGAGATTCAATTTTACAAGGAATGACAAATTGTTTTACACAATAGTTGTATTAATATAAACTCAACTTATGAGTTCTCTTTAACCTACTTCCTCACCAACACTTGGCATTGTAAGACTTCTTGATATTGCCAATTGAAGAGCTTTAAAGGGTTTTCGTTTTGATCTTAGTTTGTTCTCTTGCATATTAATAAGACCAATATTTTATATTTGTATTTGCCATTTACATTTTCATCTATGAAATGCCAGTTTAAATGATTTTCCTGTTTTTCCATTGTTTATATTTTTTCTTGCTGATCTGCAGAAGTTCCTCATATATGCAGGAGCATTGTTAATTCTTGGGTCAATAAAACATCTTCTCATAATATATAGCTTGTTTTTCACTTTCTTTTTAATATCTTCTAATAAAGAGAAATTTTAATTTTTATTATAGATTTCTCAATCATTTCTTTGCGGTTAGCCTTACTGTGTTCTATTTAAGAAATCTCTTCCTATCTCAAGGATAGGGAAAATAAAATTATTTTCCTTTATATTTTCAGTTTTTTAACTGAAAATATCTACACAAAAGGAGAGGCTAAGTATCATAAAAATATAATTATTTCCATCTTTAATGATTTATACATTCAGTGTAATTCCCATTAAAATAGTCCTAAATGATTCTTTAGAAACTTAGCAACTTTATTCTAAAATTTAGATAGAAGAAAAAAGAGCTTGGAATAGCCAAGTCACTCCCAAAATAAAAGCATACAATTGAACTTAATCCTACCATACATCTATGTGTATACTCATATACTGATGTAATACTGATATAATGATATGCATCTATACCTTTATTCATATATAAGTGTATATGTATATAAATATTTACATTTATATTCTTATATACATATATACTATTTATATTTAATTATACATTTATATAAGTATAGATCATATATGCATTATATATAATTTTAAGAATATACTTATAAAATTATATAAGGATATTCATATTACCTATAATTATATATATATATATATATACACACAATAAGTATTTATAAAATGTACTTGTATCAATGTATATTTAAATCTATAAAATATGTGTTGGATTTCATCAAATGCTTTTTTGGCATCTATTGAGATGATTATATATATATTTTTCTATGTTCAGTTCATGTGGTAAATTACATTCATAGATTTCTAGTGTGAAACTGCTATTGCTTTGTGGAATGTACTGAATTTTATTATGGTGTATCATAGTTTTATACACTATTCATTTTATTTTGCTAATGTTTTATTTAACGATTTTACATCTATGTTTTTGAGTGAGATTGACCTGTGTTTTTTTTTTTTCTTTCTGTCTTTGCATGATTTTGAATCAAAATTACATTGACCTCATAGAATGACTTAAGGAAGTTTCCTTCTCTCTAATCTCAAAAGAGTTCTATTGTAACATTGGAACGATCATTTTCTTGAAAGTTCTGTGCTGACCTTCAGTTAAGTGTGTAGCAGCATACCTGTGCTGACTGTTCATGACCAGCATTGAATATGATTGTTTAGGACACACACTATACTCATTGTTAATGATTTTAAGTTACGTCTTGCAAAACACTAGCCTGTAAAATAATTTGGGCTTATTGTTTCCTTCACAGGGTTACTGTTAACTACAGATTGAATTTCATTAATTTTTATAGAACGCCCCAGGCTTTCTATTTTTTATTGAGTCAATTTTGATGTCTTTTTTTTTTTGGAGGAGGAATTTGTTATTCCATCTAGGTTTCCAAATGTATTGCGACCCAAAATTTTTATGCTGTTTTCTTGTTGTTTTTATACCTCTGTTACGTCTATAGTTATGTTCCTTTTTCATGTCCCATATTTTTATTTGTGCCATCTCTTTCTCAATCAATCTTGGCAGATATTTCTCTGAAAATGTTAACGAAAAATAAGTTTTGCTTTGGTGGTCTATTTCATTTGTTCATTTCATTAGCTTTCCATCTTATTACTTTCTCTTCTTATCTTTATTATTTCCTTTCTTCTACTTGCTGGGATTTATTTTGTTTTCTTTTTTAATGTCTTAATTTGGATTGTTAGTTCATTACTTTTCAGTTACTACAGTTACTAAAGAGTGATTTTTCATCTTATTGTCAAATATAATTAGACAAGGCTCCAACTTTTCTTCTTAGTACTATTTTCACTGGATCTTTAAAAGTTATGTATATAATATTTTCATTTTCATTTAGTTGTAAGGATTTTTAAAAATGTTATCATTACTTTTTAACCCATTAGATATTTAGACTTTTTTAAATAAAACAAAAATGGATGTATTTTAATGCATCTTTTTGTTAATGATTTCTATTTTAATTTCACTTTGTCAGAGAACATGCCCTGTAAATATCTATATGTTGGACATCTGTGAAGACTTACAGAGCCTAGAATATAGTTGGGCTTTATAAACGTTCCACATGGGCTTCAAATGGATGTATGGGATTGCTTTTTTGGATATGACTTCTCTATATGTTATTAAGTCAAGCTTGTGATTTCAATATTCACTTATTAATATGCTAATCATTATCACTGTTTTTTTTTTAAGATTTTATTTATTTATTTGACAGAGAGAGACACAGCGAGAGAGAGAACACAAGCAGGGGGAGTGGGAGAGGGAGAAGCAGGCTTCCCGCGGAGCAGGGAGCCCGATGCGGGACTCGATCCCAGGACGCTGGGATCATGACCTGAGCTGAAGGCAGATGCTTAACAACCGAGCCACCCAGGCGCCCCAATCATTATCACTATTAATATTATTTTACTTCTTGACCTATCAATAATTGAGAAGTGTGTGTTGAAATCTCACATGAAGACAGTAGATTTGTATTTTTCTTCCTCTACATCTAATTTCTTTTATTTCAAGCATAGTTAATTATTTACAAGTTTATAATTGGTATTAAACAATTCTTATGGAATTAATCCTTTAACTCTGTTACTAGTAATGTCTCTTTTATTTGCAGAATAATAAATATGGTGTCATTTATATAAATTTTAAAACATGCAGATATGTTTATGGATATTATGGAGAAAGATATTAAAATAAGATTTTTCCTATTGTTCCAGTGGACTGTGTCTGCCAAGCTGAAAATACCCATTCATTCTAAAGAGGTTATTATATGGGTGGCAAATCATTTTCACCAAGTCTGGGACTAGTCTTCTTTTTTTAACAGTATCTTCTGGAGATCAAATGTATAGCATAGTGACAACAGTTAGCAACACTGAGTTGTATACTTGAAGTTTGCTAAGAGGATAGATCTTAAATCTTCTCAACACACACACACACACACACACACATACACACAGTAGCAACTATGTAGATGTGATGGGCAAGTTATTTAGCTTGATTGTGGTAATTTTTTCTCTCTATATATAGTTGCATACCTTCAGTATATACACTTTTTATATGTTAAAGACATCTCAGTAAAGTTGCTACAAAAAGACACACAAAAATATAGATTGACAAATTCAACAATTTAAAAAATTTAAATGATTATTTCTCGAACAGTTACAATACCTTTTGCTTTCAATGGTTACCAGAGTTTTCTTTTGGTATTTTTCCACCATGTCTTTTCTCATTCTTTCATTTTTTTTATACTTTCACTTTCAGGCATTCCATCTTCTTATGTTTCCTGTAAAGAGTATATCATTGGATACTTCTTTCATCCCAATAACCAGAGTCTCTGCCTTTTAAATGTTGGGTCTAGTCCAGTCAGATTATTGAGATTACTGGAATAATTGCATTTGTTTCTACCATCTCCTTTTTACTACTTTTTCCTCCACTTGTTTTATACTTCTGTTTTTCTCCTCCACTCTCCCACCACATCCTCATTCTGCCTCCTTCTCTCTTCACTGTCCCCTGCTTTCCTTGTCTCCGTGGGTCGCAATCTGGGTACTTTATTCACACATTCTTCCAGTTCAATAATAATCTCTTTGTTTGTACCTAATATGTTATTTTCCCACACACTGAACATTTAATTTCGGCAACATTATTCTTAATTTTCATGTCTTATCTGTATCTTTTTCAAATCTGCCTGGTCATCTTTTTTGTCTCTTTTGTTTGCAAGGTCCAATAAAGTAAACTGGGCTTTTGCGTGGGATATGGAGGGTGTAATTTGGCTCTGAAATGGGACCTACTTATAATATCTCCTTTTCTTTCTAGTGCCTTAGATGCTTTCTGACTAATTTTCACCACCCCACAGATTTCACATATCCCAAACATAATGTAAGGCATGACTCTCTGTGAATTATTAGCACTAATAATAATCCCTTAATAAAAATAAAATTCTGGAGCTCATACCATCCATCTTCTTCCCTGATACAGAGTAGGTCTTGTTGCCAAAAGTTACCAGGCAAGTAGAATATTCTCCTGATGTCATTTATCTACAGAATTGGTCTCTAATTTGCCCATAATTGCCCTTGGGCAAGCCTAACCCCAAAGACACATTGATGGCCCCCTGCTCTTTCCCCCAACCAATTAGGCACAATCCACATTACTGCCCTATGCTGCAATTCAGATCTCACCCAGAAGTCCAAGGCCAACATCACTTGGCCCCACTCAGTGACAGGATCAGGTTTAGCTTAGAAGTGATTATTGCCAATTGAAAAAGAAAGTTTGCCCCAAATTACCATCATGTTGACTGTATTACTAAACCAGTCTCCCAAGCTGGACTTGCAGAATATCATGGGAATAAGGAAGTGTAGATGTGTTGCTGGTGATGGGAACCCAAGAAGAGATTCTTTTCTCTATAGCCTGTGCTTCTCCTCAGCTTTAAGGAAGTACTTTAAGTACTTCAAGAAAGTCTGGGACTGAAGTTACTCTCACTTGACTACATACCATTTTCTACAGATGCTTCTTCTTCACTGTGTTAGACCCAGATGGAATGAGAGCAAGTCCAGACGGTGACATTCATGGATGATCACTGGGCCCCCTTGATCAATCCATACCTTTCACCCAGTGTGTGATTATCATACTTTATCCAGCTGATTTCATGCACCAGCTGTTCAAGGAAGTGAAACTATTACAGTTTATGGAGGGCTCACTATGTACAAAAGCATTTTCCATATGTTACCCCATTCTGTGCTTACAACATCCTTATGAAATAGGTACTATTAGTATTTGCTTCTTATAGGTGAGGTGCTTCAGGCCTGAAAAGGGTAAATTACTTGTCCAGAATCACATAACCTGAAAGTTGCAGAGCCAAGGTAAGGACAGCTGCTTCCTTGTTTCATATCACTTATCTTTACAACTCTATGAGGCAGGTGGTCTTCCCATTGTGAAGTGAAGAAACCAAAGCACAGAGAGGTTAGGTAACTTGTGCAATATCACACAGTTTGTACGTCGAAGAGCAGGGAAGGACATCAGGGTAGCCTGAGTGGAGAGATTCTATGTTGCTGAATGTCTCCATCCACCAATAAAGCTAGAAGGTGTGGTGAGTGTGCTGATGCATCTCACTTCATTTCCTATCCTATATGACCACCTGATGTTAATAAATTTCTGCTGTGGTCCAGCTTCCACCTGAAACTCATATTTATATTAATATACACTTTAAGAAGATAATGTTAGTGTAGAGTGAGAATAAATAAATAGTAGTCTAGTCTGGAAATGCAGTGGGAAGAATGATGGGGAAATTTATTAGCATTAAAATGCAGGACAACCTTCTGACATATGGTTGTGACTTGTGTCTTCCTTTATGTATTGAACAGGGAAATGTCCATTGGTTTCTCAACTCCAGCACAATTGGCATTTAGGACCAGATAATTCTTTGTTGTCTAGGGATGTCCTTTGCATTGTAGGATGTTGACCAGCATCTCTGGCCTCTACCTACTAGATGCCAATATCATTCCACCCACCCCAGTTGGGGCAATCAAAGTATCTCTAGACATTGCCAATATCCCCTGCTAGCCAAAATCACTGCTAGATAGGAATCACTAATTGAGGGGGATTTCAGAGAGCAGATATAAAATAATTCCTCTGCCTCCAAAATTAGACACTGCCTGCCCTGAGTTGGTTAGACTGAGCAAGAGACCCCAGGGAGGTATCTTTAGTTAGAGTGAGAGATTATCCTGAACCAGAGCTGAGTCAGGGCCCAGTGTGCTCATACCCTCTTCTCAGCAAGGGAAAGGGGATAAGGGAACTGAGGGGATAGACAGAGACCACTATGTATTCTGAAAATACAACTTCAGAGAACTTTGATAAGTGTGTTGGAACAAATGCTTGGTGATATGGGAGAGAAAAGACACCCCTTATCTCATTTAGTCCCCATGATAATACAATAAAGGAGGTATAGTTTTCATTTCTGTTTCACAGATTAGGAAAGATGCCAAAGACACTGAAAGACTTGCCTAAGACTAGAAGGTGAGGGAATTGGAATGGATGACAGAAGTGTCTGAATCAATGTCTGTACTCTTTCTGTGCATCCTAGGGGTATAGAGAGAACCTTCTAGAGATGACAGGGAATAAAACTGTCCTTTTATTCATTTATAGAGCAAAATATATGTACACCTACACTGTGAAGATGCTATGCTATCCACCAGGGATACAAAGATAAATAAACTCTAACCCCAGGTTTACAGAGCTCAGATTAGTGAGAGAAAAAATATATTTAAAAATTCCAGTGCAGCGTGCTAAACATGGTGAAGGAGTATATATGCAGAGGGGGCCATGGGAATATAAAAGAAGGGAACCTAGCACAAGTTGGGAGGGGAACAGTTCCTCAGGGTAGGCTTCATGGAATAGGTGATCTGTGAACTGAGTCCAAGGATGCCAGGAGTTGAGATTGGTCATAGGGAATGACAGAAATCTCACAGTTTACCATTACAGATCAACTGCTACACATTGCAGTTTGGATCTGACCACTAAAAAGTGCACTAAAATTTTTTGTTAAAAGGAATGCAGAGTATGTTGGACTGGGATGTCCCCTCCCTGGGGAGTGAGTAGGAGGACTGATTGCCATTTGTATTGGTCAAGGTCCTCCAAAGAAACAGAACCAATAGAAGATAGAGGAGAGGGAGAGAAAGAGGGAGAGAGAGGAAGTGAGGGAGGGAAGAAGGAAGAAAGAGATTTTAAGGAATTTCTCACATAATCATGGTGGTCGACAAATACAGAATCTGAAGTGGGTGCTGGCAGGCTGGAGGTTCAGGTGAAAGCTGATAATGCCATCTTGAGTCTGAATTCCTCAGGACAGGTCAGCAGGTGGGGAAACTCAGGCAGAGCTTCTACTCTGCAGTCTTGAGGAAGAACTACTTCCTCTTTGGGAAACCTCATCTTTGCTCTTAAGACTTTCAACTGATTGGATGAGGCCCACCCATGTTATGGAGGGTCATCCGCTTTATTCAAAGTCTACTGGTTTAAATGTTAATCACACCCATCCACATCTAAACTGGTGTCTGACCAAACAGCTAGGTACCACAGCTAGCCAAGCTGACATGTGAAATTAACCATTGTACCACTGTTGGTCATTTATTAATCTCCCCCAGAAAGGACTATAATTTCACACCCAGAAACCTGTTAGAGGTGGCAAGTGAGAATCTCTGTTGCCACATGTGCTCCAGGCTTCAGTGCCTCTGGGGAAGCTGTGCTTGGGGGGGGGGGGGGGGGGGGAACACACCAGTTAAATTCAGCTGAATATTTTAGTACACCCTTACAGTCATAAATCCTGATGAGCTCTCACCCTAAAGTAGGTCCCTGAAAGAGATCAAGGAATTCTTAAAGTTTTAGTAATTCAACAGCCATTTTAAGTATATAGAAGAGCTTCCTTTTTAAAATCCTAAGGTGAATTTTTTCAGAAAATAATAAATTAAGTAGTGATTTTTTTTTTTTTTTTTTTAGTTTGAGGATGCATTCATGCATTTCTAATGTCATACACTAAATGTCTTGGCTTGAGCTGTGTGTGTGTGTTATTCATCCTTGTTTCCTAACTAACAAAAGGATGTGATCATTTCATTCAGGTCTAACATAGCAGTGTGTGCCTGAGCATGTCTGTGTATACATAAGCCATAATGTCTCAGTTATTGGCACAGTGGGGAGCATTTCTTTCCATGAACATAATTTGTTGATTAAATCAGGACTATAATCTCCACTTTTGTACAATGAAATTATCCAAGAAAGAAGCCCCTATGTAGAAATCTATAAGATTATGTCCCTGGAGTTTACTGTCATTTTTTGATCTCTTCATTAAAAAAGAATACATTTATAAGGAACATATCAGATTCCTAGCCAGCAATCTTTCACTTAGTAACCAGTTAATTTGTTGCAGAATTCGCACACTTTGAAAGGGAACCCATATAAAGAAATCTTGACAACTCTAACATGAATCAGTCAGTAGGAAGAAAAAAAAAAGTTTTCTCTCAAACTTTGCCCTACATTTGATCTTCGCCAAAAGGCCTAGAAGTGATTCCCCCAACTTTGCCCTGATGGAAAAGAGAGGGTGTCCGAAGTCAATGAGAAATGGCAGGCATATCCAAAAGAAGTTTTGTGGGGTTTTTTTTAAGATTTTATTTATTCATTTGAGACAGAGAGATACAGAGAGAGAGAGAGAGCATGAGCAGGGGGAGAGGCAGAGGGAGAGGGAGAAGCAGGCTCCCCGCTGAGCAGGGAGCCCAATGTGGGGCTCGATCCCAGGGTCCTGGG